TCCTTATTAGTCAACCTTCATGGAAACGTTAGTGGGAAATGGTGGGAAAAATGCGCGCGGCACTTTTTTTTGGACACTCAAGATGGTAACATTTGATGTTGTCATATATTTCCATCCTCTTATCATAGCATAACTTAACTTATTTTGGTGAGTTTGTTAAAGAATTGTGCTCACTATATGCCTGTAGTATCTAAGATTTTTTCATAGCATTATATGACAAATTTAAGTTCTGTTTTCTTTTATCTTTAGGTGATAGTATCTGTTCACTTGAGTGTTGGTATCAAATTTTGGACACGTTTCAATTATGATTTCACATTCCTTTATTGAAATATCCAAATAAATGGAATATGACATCAAACTGGAGGACTAGATTCTGTTTCCAAACTTGTTTTTGTAAAAATAGAAAATAACAACTTATTTTGTGTTGTTCTAATAAAAATTATTGTTTTTGATATTCATATTTAATTTTTAAAATTACGGTTATTCTTTGTTAAAATGTGTACCGGGAATACTGAAATCTTTCAGATCATCTACCAATTCCCTTTATAACTTATGTAGCCAAGTGTTCTATCTATTTCTGTTCAGATTATACAAATGATGGGTAAAATGTTAGTTTAGATTCTTTAAAAAAATGAGCTTGCCTAATTTGAAAGCATAAAAAGCAATAAAATAAAGCAAAAGTACTTACTTTTAATTTAATACCTTTGGATTGCATAGCGTAATGTTTTCCACTAAATATTACAAAGTTTTTGTTCATTGAAATGTTGTTTTATCAGCTTTAAAACCAGATAAAAACACGAAGCACTCCTAATATGTGTCGCCATATTGATTTTTTCGCGGATGCTCCGTACAAAATGCCCAGCTGTTCTGTACAGTACAACAACAGTAACATGATCTATTAGCAATTCGATTTCATTCGCGGAGACCTAAAATATTTTTGCTTAAGAATTGCAAAGTGGATTTCTTAGGAAATTCCAAGGTTGCGTTTCACTTCCGAGTACGGAGGCGGGGGAATGCAGTCTCTGAGTGCCCTCTAGTTTTGAAAAGAGCTCCAGGCGAATTGCGTACGATTTTGTCCATTAATTAGCGATGCACGCGCGCATAGTTTGAAAGTGAGCGCTGTCGTCAGCATGTTCATTCAAATATATTTATTGAGAACATTACATTATATAATTAATATTATATATAATTATATATAATTAATATTATGTATAATTAATATGAACTCAAATGGCATAAGCACAAACGAGACGCGAAGTCCCATGCAACGTGCAAACCCCGAACCAGCGAAATACGTACATAAATATGAATACACACATACATAAAATACAAATATATAAAAGCCGCTTCCCCCTATTAGTATGACCATGAACGCAACCACCTGAATGCTTCACGGATGTGTTAGCAAAATAATTTCAAACTCACAAGCATAATGAATGCTTCACGGATGTGTTGGCATAATAATTTCAAACTGACAATAATTTCATAATAATTTCAAACTCTACTACAAAAGCAAATTTGACAAACATCAAAACAATCCAAAACAGGCTTGGAGGACGATTAATGATATCCTTGGGAGAAAAGAGAAGGACACAATGATTAACGAATTAAAGCTAGGAAATGATACAATTACTTCTCCTATGAGAATGGCTAATTGTCTTAATGACTATTTTACAAGTATTGGTGGTAAAATTGGAGACTCCTGCTCTGAACACACTCAGAATTTAAATTTTGGCAGGCATATGAGTGATAATCTAAATACTAGTTTGGAATTTACTTTGCATCCTGTTAACGAATCACAGGTTTTTAGGTTACTTAACAATTTGTCTATTTCTAAATCTACTGGATGTGACAAAATACCGGCTAAAATTCTAAAAAAATCTGCTTCTGTAATTACACCATCTTTGACCAATTTGTTTAACTCTGCTATTGGGATGGGAATTTCCCCTCTGAATGGAAAAGTGCTAGAGTTATACCGCTTCATAAGAAGGGTTCACGCTCCGTTTTAGACAATTATAGGCCAATATCAATTTTGCCGGTCATCAGCAAAATATTTGAAAAGATCTTGTATGAGCAGTTATACGAATATTTTACCACCAATAATTTATTGTCTGAACAGCAGTTTGGGTTCAGGCGCTTTCATTCCACGTCCACTGCTTTGCTTGATTGTACTGATGAGTGGTATGTTAATATGGATCGTGGTTTGTATAATCTTGCCGTTTTTCTCGATTTAAAAAAAGCATTTGACACGGTAAACCACGACATTTTACTGGCTAAACTAGAGTTATATGGTATTAAGAACACGCCTCTTATGCTTCTCAAATCGTACTTATCAGATCGATCTCAGAAATGTCAAGTAAATGGGGAACTTTCCACACTAAAATATCTGAAATATGGCGTTCCTCAGGGTTCAATTTTGGGTCCACTTCTGTTTTTAATTTATATCAATGATTTGCCGAATTGTTTACAACACTCTACAGCACGCGTGTTCGCCGACGATACTAACATTACAGTGTCCGGTAAATCAATTAAGGAAGCTGAGGTGGCCGTTAATGTCGATCTCAATAATATCAGAGAATGGCTTCTATCGAACAGGCTCTCTCTTAACCTTGTCAAAACAGAATATCTTTTGATTGCATCACGCCATAATATTAACACGTTAGAAGAACAACCGCGTGTTTTTATTGGAGATGAACCAATTAAAGGGGTTCAAGTTACAAAAACTCTTGGAGTCAAAATTGATCAATTTTTAACTTGGGACAGTCATATTCACCAAATTTCTAAAAAAATATCTTCTGGAATAAGTGCCATGAAAAAGATAAAGGATTTCACTAATTCTGATACTTTGAAGTCGGTCTATTATGGTCTTGTCCAACCCCATTTCGACTACTGTTGTGAAGTTTGGAATTCCATTAATAGAGGCCAGTCTGAACGACTACAAAAACTTCACAACAGATGTGCTAGAATTATAATGAACTTTAAAGATGAGCCTGGGCAATCTCAACTGGCCCTCGATCAATTAGGGTGGATAAGCTTGGAAGAAAGGCGAAAACATAATATGGCCCGTCTCATGTTTAAGGTTGTCAATAATCTGGCACCATCGAGGTTCTCATCAATGTTCCAGAATTCTAACCATATCCACAGTTATAATTTACGAGGTTCAAATTCGTCTCTCTTTCTGCCACGACCAAATACTGAGTATGGCAGAAAATGTTTTCGATATAGTGGGGTTAAAATCTGGAATAGCATTCCTGAACAAGTAAGAAACAGCGAATCTTTAAATTCTTTCAATAGAAATATTTCCTCTGTTAGTCTGACGAATTAACTATTTGAGTTTTGTATACCATTTGTTTTGTAATATGTATTTGTATTCGTAGTTCTTAATTTTCTTAGTGATTTTGTATTTTATATATTTTTGTAACATTTATCTACGCCCCACTTGGAAAGCAGCTATGGTTGAAGTGGCCAGCGTAGTCAAATAAAGTTTTATCCTATCCTATCCTATCATAATGAATGCTTCACGGATGTGTTAGCATAATATGCATGTTGCTGGCGATTGTATACGATCACACGTATAACCAACTGAACAAACGACTTTAATTACAATTTCAGATCCAGTGAGCAAATCCACGTAAATTTGTTACTTTTTCGTGAAAAATAGATACAAAAACTGTTCGCAAACCTCAGAACACGTTGGACAATGTTTTTATCCACAACTTTTACTCAAATTTGTATCCAATCATGAGTGTTAAAGAGAAAAAACCCAAAGAGTTTTCCAGAGCGCTTTGTGTGCGAGCGCACGCGGCAGGCGCGATCACAAAGCTCATATTAGACGGTTTTAGATAAAAAGACGCGGACGTCAAGAGGACGTGAAAATGACGTATGCACCTCGCGTTCACTTCCGGGTTTTAATCTGGGACTGCTTGTTTGTCTTTTTCGAAATAAATTTTTCTTTTCTTGTCACCTGTTCATTCCTGTATTGTTTTCAATCAGTTGTCAAGATATGTGCAAGAAAAGGCTATATAATACTGGCCAAGTGTTTCCTGATGAATTAGTATGGGCATTCAATAAGTTTTTTTTAGAAAAAAAGTTATTTTTTGGAATTTTGAAAAGTGAACTTTGTTGCATCATTTGAAATAAACACAACAGCTGCAGGTATTGTTTACGAGCTAATTGTAGCCTATTAAATCAAGTTTGTCAACTGTTCAGTATAGATATAGCATCAGTGTTTATATTGGTAAAATTTAATACTGTTTACGATAGTTTTTCACGCTGGAAATCGTTTTTTTGCTTGTCCTACTTGTGACAGGGCAACTAAAATTGATTGAGTTTTTACTGCTTTTTAAGTCCTTCTATTTTTCTATTTTCCCAAGTTTTCCTGATTTTAAACAGTTGTTAATATAACTTCAGTTTAGTTTGTTCTAAAATATTTGTTTTGGTGAAATTACTAGCGGTATTGAAGTGGTTATTAACAATGCTTGCAGTTTTGTTGATTTGTTTATGGCGACCGAATGTATTTGTCGAAAATCAACTCGTCAAAAATTTAGCAAAATACAAGAAAAACGACCTTGTCAATGGAAAAACTTTAGCTAGTATCATTACACAATACATGGGGAACAAAATAGGATGATTTTTATTATGCACAGTCTCATATTTTTTTAAAAGAAGCAAAAATCTGTGACGTTCTAGAGAGGACGTGAAAATTGTATTTTCGCGTCGTGAAATCGTCAAAGACGACGTCGCAAACAAGAAACTGACGATAGTTGGCGCCAAATGACGACATCCACGTCCTCTTGACGTCCGCGTCTTGTTATCTAAAACCGTCTGTTAAGTAGATCACAAACAAGACTCGATATACGTGAGATGTATGCTGAATTTCTGTATAAAAAATGGTGTTTCGGTGTTTCGTGTTTTATATATATCGCTATGCCCCTCAACAAAATCTGTTACCCTGTTGAGATTGTCAGTTAGTGCTCATCATTTCTAAGTTTATGTTCTGCTTTAGGTTCAGTGACGTGTCATGGAAATATGGTGAAGAACGTGAACTGTCCTAAAGATCAGTACATGGTGGTTAAAAATGCATCGTACCGTGGATTGCCTGCCACAAAGACATGTGGTTTGAGTGACGATTATAGTTGTGAAGCTAATGTAACATGTATTGTTAAGAAAGAATGTGATGGTCAACATGAGTGCAAATTAATTGTGGATGACAAGTTGTTCTCTGGTTATCTGTGCACTGAATTGAAAAAATATCTTTACTTTGAATATCAATGCGTTGATACAGCGACGCCTTTTAAAGAACATTGTGCTGTGTATACTGAGTACTGCCAATAGAGAGGTTTAAATTTTACCTCCGCTATAACTACTTGTCGGTGACTTATAATTATTAAATACGTTATGTTAATTGGTTATTATAATCTCTGATTGGTTAATTGTAAAGGGAGTGAAAGTCAAATCTGAATCTTTCTACATTACTTTAATTTTTAAATTATGTTACTCAATGTTTATCCAATAGCCACATATAATATTCCTGACATACTGTGTAGAATATAGACGTACACAAATAATATTATTCATGGTAAAAGGAGATCGAGAAACCACCAAGCTAGTTTCATGGCAAAACGCAACAAGCATTAGCTACATTCACTATTCATTTATTCTGTTGTAACATGGTAGTGTTATACCATGTTATTTAATATATTCAATACTATACAGTACTGTTATAATTATAAGAGGAAGACCTTAGGTAACCTTCCTCGCATGACTAAGCAAATACTTGGAAAGATTAAAGAACCACGGGAAACGCATAGTACCACAAACCACGCAAACAGGACATGGTTTTGTGGTTGATCAACACTGCTAGAACTTGCTTTGACAATCTTATTGCGTAGAGGAAATTAGTCATAGTTATAGATTTCTTCCTGTAAAATTTATTATAAAAGTTGAGCACAACCTGAGAGTCGAGAGCGGAGAGTGAAGTGAGAAGAGCCATTTAGGCTAAAATACTTCATAAGCCAACAAAGGCTGAAGTATATAATCAAAAGGCCAGATAGTTAAGCCTTGTCAAGTAAACTAAGAACATTGTAATATTGTGAAATTATTAAAGAAGACGGAATACGAAGTATAAAGAATATAGATTCAAAGTTGTGCTCAGCTCAAACAAATAGAGAGATAAGTTGATATATTAAGAATAATATATTATTCTAATATTATAGAGATGCTAATTCATATTGTTAAAAGTAAATAAAAATATATAAAAGGTATACGGTTTCATGCTATTTGTGTAACGGTAGCGTTAATATAATTTGAACCCGAAGCCTAAAGGTTGAAAATATTGTGACAGATTACGCAACATTACTTTAAATTTATTTGTTATTGTAATACTTCATATAATAATGTTAGAAATATATCAAGTTTCAAACATGGCGCCCAACGTCACGGCAACGTGCCCTTTAGTTTATCGAAAAAGTTATGTTTTAGCGCTATGACCGATCAATTAGAAAGGAAAAAGCCTACCCGTCGTGGGAACAGAGCAGTTATAACGAAATACAGTAACGAAGCAAAAGAATTATTGGCAAATGGAGAAAATATCGACGAAAATACGAAGGATCGTTTAATTAAACACGTTGCACGATCTTCTTGAGGAAAAATTACAAGTGGTAAAGAAATTCGACGAAGAAATCTTACAGTTATGCGAAGTTAAATAAATAGAAAACGAGACAGAAGTATCCGAGGAATTAAATTCACAAGTTCTTGATGTTAAAAGACAAATATCCAAGTTTTTTGCGAAAGAAATCGACGATACGGGAAAGGTACCTATTCACGATATATCTATACCTTGTCAAATTACCCCGCTAGTAGAAATAACAGAGGCAGGTGAAACTTCCTTTGAAATTAATGTCAATAAAGAAACAATAAACAAACAGGACAATGTTAATTCAACCCAAGATCCTACACCAAGTAACCCAACCTTTTCACCCAGACTCTTGTAGTCCAGCAACCAGTCAATCAAGTGGAAATTACGTCATAGGTTATGGTGCAAAAACGAAGCTTCCAAAGTTAACTTTACCCCGGTCCAGAGGAGATATTACTGAATTTCAACCATTTTGGGATAGTTTTGAAAATGCTGTCCACAAGAATACAAGTTTGTCAAGCATTGACAAATTTAATTACTTATATTCCTTGTTGGAGGGTTCAGCATTACTGGTTATTAAGGGACTGGCTTTGCCGGAAGAAAACTACAAGGTTGCAATCGACGTTCTTAAACAACGTTATGGCAATACTCAAGTTATCATATCCGCCCATATGGATGAGATGTTAAAACTTCCCGATTGTTCGACTGGAAAGGTACGCGATCTTCGAAGAGTGCGTGATAAAATTAATGTTAACGTAAAAGGGCTTGAGGCACTTGGAATAAAATCGGAACAATATGGTAGTCTACTCATTCCAGCAATCATGGCAAAACTTCCACCCGAGTTACGAATCCATGTTGCAAGAAAGACTGCCAGTGAACTTTGGAAAATTGACGATATTCTGGAAAATATTCGGAAGAAAGTGGAAGCACGGGAGATCAGTGAGGGTGTTCGTACAAGCAATTCTAGTTTTAATGACATTCGCAAGCAAAATGAGGTATGAAAACCAAATCGACGGCGGAATTACTGTTCATCTGCGGCAAGTCTATTCGTTAAAGATGGGGAAAATGAGCGAAAGATAAAATGTGTCTATTGTGGACAATATCATTACTCAGCATCGTGCGAACGTGTGAAAGATGTGGATGATCGAAAGGGCATTTTAAGAGATCAGAAACGTTGTTATTTATGTTTGCAAGGTGGTCATTGTGCACATCAATCTATTTCTACTAAAGCTACCAAAACATTTTGAAAGATCAATTCTGAAGAAACAACAAAACCAGAAGCGAAAGAGGAGAAAAAAGAAACGCAGAACCTCACAACAACTACAACATCCAACAGTTCATCAAAGGTGCTTTTGCAAACTGCCACTACATATGCTTATTCTCAACATAGCAAAAGAGCTATTCCTGCTCGAGTGCTTTTAGACAGTGGTGGTCAAAGATCATACGCAACCAATCATCAGAAGAAATGACTTGGCCTTCAACCAGTAATGAAAGAAACGCTTAACTTGAACACATTTGGGCAGGATAAATTCACAAAACAGAAATGTGATGTTGTCAGTTTAAACCTGAAAGGCAAAGAAGGCAAAGATATCGAAATTTCAGCTCTTTGTTTTGAGAAAATCTGTTCACCTCTTCCTACCAAGATTGAGCTCGATAAATATCTGCATTTGATGGGATTGGATCTTGCTGATTCCTCTCTCGGCGAGAACAGTCATGATGAAATCGACATCTTGATAGGATCTGATTATTACTACGACATTGTAATTGGGGAATTTGTAAGAGGAGAAGTTGGTCGAGTAGCTGTCACCAGCAAATTTGGATGGGTTCTCTCTGGACCATCGAGAGACACTGAAAAAAATAACAATGCAACGCTATCGCACTTAGTAATCGAACGAGAAGAACCTGCAACATAGCTATTGCCCGCCAGCACCAAACGACATGATGACCTACTACTTATCACATCATGGAGTGTTGAAGTCCGAGAGAGAGACTACAAAACTACGAGTGGTTTTCGATGGATCAGCAAGACTGGATATAGACAGTCCATCCATAAATGAATGCTTACAAAAGGGTCCCAAACTTATACCGCCTTTATTTGATACAATAATAAAATTCAGAAGTTATCCAGTGGGGATTGTTTCTGACATTGAAAAGGCCTTTCATCAGGTGCAGATTAATCCATCCGATCGTTGTATGCTTAGGTTCCTTTGGTTCGATGACATTCGAAAGGACAATCCCACTATTAAAAGATTTCAATTCCAACGCCTTGTATTTGGCTTAACACCGAATCCAGCAATTTTGCCCACTGTGATACAAAATTATTTATCAGAACATGACGAAAACGGTGCTGTTGTACCCCAGCTGTTAAAAGAATCGCTCTACGTTGACGACTTCGCAGGGGGAGCTGATAATGATCAAGAAGCATTGGACATTTACGATAATTCTCAAGATGTAATGAAGAAGGGTGGATTTGTTTTGCGTAAATGGAATTCGAATTCCAAGGTTTTACAATATCGAATTGAGAAAGATACATTGTCAAACGGAACACAAACGACATCAAGTTCAGTTTTCAAAAATGAAAAAGAGATTGATTCAAAACAACATAGCAAGGAAATTACGCCTGTCAGTATATTAGGATCTAACTGGAACGTTAAAACTGACAAATTCCAATTCGGTGTAAAGGAACTTGTTGAATATACCAAAACACAACCCGCTACAAAGAGATCTGTATTAAAGGCTTCAGCAAAGATTTTTGACCCAATTGGAATACTTAGTCCATTTACAGTCAATCTTAAGATCTTATTCCAGTTGCTTTGTTGTGATCGCGTAGATTGGGATGAGAAACTCGATGAAAATTCATTAGTATGTTGGAACTCGCTGTTACAAGGATTAGAGTCAATCAATTCAATTGAAGTGCTAAGATGCTATTTCTGTCGTTTCAATGTACCAATAACGAGCCAGCAAATCCATGGGTTTGGTGATGCCTCCGGAAGGGCATACGCAGCGGTAGTATATCTGCGAATAGAGTATGAAGACCATCATGATGAAACCAACATCATAGCATCCAAGACTAGAGTCGCTCCGATACGAAAGCAGTCTATTCCTAGGTTGGAACTTCTAGGAGCTACTATCCTTGCTCGATTGGTTAGCTCGATTAGCAAGATCTTTGGTATCGATTAGTAAATCCAAATAAATTCATGTGGACTGATCCGTTTACCGTACTTTGTTGGATACAAAATGATAAACCGTGCAAACAGTACATACAGAGAAGAGTCGACCAAATTCAAAAACTCGTTGGAGAGGATAAATGGATGTTCTGCCCAGGACAATTTAACATTGCAGACTTACATTCGCGAGGTTGTAGTGGAGCAGCACTCGTTAAAAACGACGAATGGTTCCATGGTCCTAAATTCCTGAAGTTATCAGAAGAAAACTGGCCGAAACATCCTCGACGTAATGGAGCAGAAAGTGAAATCGCATTATCGGAAACGGTGAAATCAGTCAACAAGTCAACAACTCATTCCCTTGCAGTCTTAGAGAAGAAACATACCACAGTTAGTGTCGGGAAGGTGGTGGATTGTCATCGATATAGTTCGAGAACACGATTATTATGAGTGACGGCTTACGTATTGAGGTTCGTAAGGAGGATTAAAGGACAAACCGTAGGAAAAACGTTAGAACTATTAGCAGACGAACTGATCGAAGCCGAACAGATTTGGATAAAGGATATTCAGAACAATATGTTTCCCGAAGAAGTTAAACAATTAATTAATCGTTCGAAAACTTCCAGCTAAAGGCTTGATCAACTACGCTTATTTCTGGACGACAAAGGAATGATACGCTCTGAAGGACGAATTGAACATTTTTCTGTTTCTTCTAAAGCTAAGAAACCTGTACTCCTTCCCGCAAAGCATCACGTTACAGATTTGATCATCCAAGTACATCACGATTCAGCAAACCACACTGGTATTAAAGGAACACTGAACCGTATTCGAGAAAGATATTGGATCCTACGTGGAAGGCAAGCAGTCAAGCGAGTGACTTGTAAAAGATTAGAAGGGAAGCCGTACCCTAAGCCCAAGACTCCACACCTACCATCTTGGCGAACAAGTGACGACCCTCCCTTTAGTTACACAGGAGTGGATTTCGCTGGACCCCCCAATGTCAAAGAGAACTCAAAGTGTGGTCAACAATCAACAAAAAAAGTCATACATCGCTCTATGTACTTGTCCGTCAACACGTGGAATTCATGTAGAACTTGATCTTGATCGAGATTGAGTCAATATTAAACAATCGTCCAATTACGTACATATATGATGATGAAGAAGGGATATCGTACCCCCTTACGCCATCCTGTCTACTTTATGGACAGAGTACGAAAACTACGCCAAACGACAGACAGTTCGAGATAGTGAGCACAAACGAGTCTTTCACAAGACGAGCTCAACATCACAAAACTCTACTATTCTAGACGAGAATATCTGCTAAGCATTCGTGAAGCAGCGAGCTCGTGTAACAACGGTACAAGAGACGTAATTGCCGAAGGAGACATTGTAATTTTGAAGAACGAGAGCACGAAACCGTCATTTTGGAAAATAGCGAAAGAGCTGATTCGAAGTATTGACGGTGTTGTAAGATCAGCAAAGATTCGAGTGTTAAAGAGTGAGACTCGAAAGCCTATCATCATAAGAAGACCTATACAACATTTAATCCCATTGGAAACTCGCTCGAAATTCGGTAACGAAGATGAAGAAGAACTAGTTGATGTGAATGATGAATCACCCGGAACACAAGATCTCAGTACAGAACCATTAAAGACAGATTACGCAACATTACTTTAAATTTATTTGTTATTGTAATACTTCGTGTAATTGACGCATAAATGACACGCACGCCATAACAGTCGGGGGCTCAGGCGGGAAAGAATAAAACCAGTCTAAACAATTGCATGCTCCAAAAGAAAAGTAACATTTCAAAAAAAGATATAAAGCGGAATTTAAAGAATACTTTCTGCATGCGTCATAGTGTTAACCCTATTTGTACCGGGGGGTTTTCATGTTGATATGACCGGGGTGCGCTGATAGGGCGCACCCCTCAGAAATTCTGTCGATTAACTGCCATTATCCTATAAGCTTTCTTTTTAATACGTTTTATTTTTCTTTAACCTAAAAATAACAAAAAAGTTAAATTCACATCCAAAATGCTATTTTTTGGCCCCATTGAATATGACCGCCTATCAAAAAATGGCAAATATAGCTAATATTTTACCCATTTTGGTTATATTTTGTAAAGAGATAACAAACCATTTTGGATGTAATATTTTTTGGGCCTTTTACATTCAAAAGACATACTTTTATGTTATAGCGTATCTCAGATGTCCATAAACAGCACTATTTTGCTTTCCAAGTTGGCATTTCTGTGCCATATGAAAAGACATACAACTGAATCTTACCAGTCTCTCATATAAACAATCCAACATAACATTTCAACATCACTGATTTTACCTTCATATCATTGTGACAGTGTCATTGTTGTATAAATAATGTTCCATTATTCTCATTGTATTCACAATTGTGCATTCTGTTGAAACTCTAGCACCTTTTTGGCGTAACTTCTGTATTGTAAACATAAAATGTCGACCAACAAAAGTTTGTAGAAAAAATACGAAATGGCAGCAATGTTTTATACCAATATACTATGTGTTACATGAAGTGTAAGGCACGTGGACAACGAGATACGAGCCTGCAGCATAGTTTGGAAAACACAATATTTACTTTGAAAATCAAGATAATCGTTCTGGATTTGATCCAAAAGTTTTACTCTCATTTGGAACTGAATTTCTGGTACGAAAGTGTTCAATATATAATGCATCCTACAAGTTTGATTCTTGCTGAAAGACAGGGAGATGTTATGCCTTGAAGGTACAATTAGAAATATGTGTATTTGAATATATAAATATATTAAAAAATAGTATTTTATATTAGGCCACTACAAGTTAATCTTTAGTTTCTGGTCCGGCCTTACCTTCGTTTACGACGCGGGCGGGCAGGTGGATTTTACATATCAAAATGATCTATTAATATTCCTAGTTTTTTTACCTCGTAATCTCGATAAAACAGCGGTTTTAATACATTTTGCTGGGTGTAAATAGTGTAAATTAAATATTTATCGTTCTATAAGTTAAATCCTTCGCGAAAATTTTCAAGAACTAGAAATTAATTGTAAACAACAAAATAGTCCTGAAATAATACTTTACGAAAAAAGGACGCGGGCGGCGGACCAGAAACTAAAGATTAACTTGTAGTGGCCTTATATTAGTATTGTTTAGTATGCTTTATAATATAAGTCTGATATAACAGACGATTTGATTGGCTAATGCGCGTGTATTGTGATGCAATAATGCACTGTGATCTGTGGCACTGCTTTGCTCTTTCTCTGTTTGTTCGCCACTTCATCTCTGCTTTTTAGCCAAAAATATAAACAAAACTATAGAGCTTTTAAAGTACAAAATTTACCAGAAAGAAAGAAGGAATAGACCAAAGAAACAAAGCAATTTTTTATAGTTCTACGTGTAGAATTAACCGGCTTGGTATTCGTCAAATTTGTTGTTTTTCTCGACAAGTTTTGGGTAAAAGCGTACAAAATAGTCGGGGAAAAAACTTGAAAAAGATGCAGCTGGAAGACCAAATGCATACAAAAAGGCAACAAATTAAAAACTGAATATAAGTGATTTAGGACGTACCTTCATTTCTTCTGGTAATAACTGCTAGATATATTTTCGGCCAAAGACAAAAAATTCAATAATTTTAAAAATTTATGAAAGTGAGTATAAACGCGATGAAACCAACGATTTACCGTCTTTCATAGCAAATCGAGCAGCCCAGATGCTGAAAAACTTTGGAAAGTTAGTCTGTGTATCACTTCTTTTTTATTTCCACTATTTTAAACAATTTTCCAGCTTTATAGCATCAAAAGACTCAAAAGTTTGTATATTGTTTTGACAATTTTGCTGCTTCGCTCGCTTAAAAATTTAAGCAACAGTAAAAGCATGCGCGTGACGTCACTGAGTACATGTTAGGAGAATTTCAACGTCGATCTTTTGAGTAAAATTGTTTACTATGTAATATCTTCTACTTATATTATAAAAGAAATAGAAAAACTCGTCTCGTGCGTTTATTTAAGAAATAGAAAACGAGTCGCGTGCGTTTATGGCGTGATAATGCACGCGGGAAATGTTGGGAGAATACGAGAGAAGCGTGTAAAACCCGAGGCGTAGCCGAGTGTTTTACACGCTTCTCGAGTATTCTCCCAACATTTCCCAAGTGCCTTATCACACAATAAACGCAGGAGACGAGTTTTTCTATTTATTTTATAATATAAATAGAAGATATTACATAGTAAACAATTTTACTCAAAGGATCGACGTTGAAATTCTCCTAACATGTACTCAGTGACGTCACGCGCATGTTTTTACTGTCCCTTGAATTTTTAAGCGAGCGAAGGAGAGAAATTGCCAAAACAACATACAAACTTTTGATGCTATAAAGCCGGAAAAGTTGTTTAAAATAGTGGAAATAAAAAAGCAGTGACACACAGACTAATTTGCCAAAGTTTTTCAGCATCTGGGCTGCTGGATTTGCCATGAAAGACGGTAAATCGTAAATTTCGTCGTGTTTATTACTCAGTTTTCACATTCGAAAATATTGTATTTTTTGTCTTCCGCCGAAAATATATCTAGCAGTTATTATCAGAAGAATTGAAGGTACTTTCTAAATCACTTATATTCAGTTTTTGTTGCCTTTTTGTATGTATTTGGTCTTCCATCTGTATCTTTTTCAAGTTTTTTTTCTCGACTAATTTGTACGCTTTTTACCCAAAACGTGTCGAGACAACAACAAATTCGACGAATTGGCAGCCGGTTAATTTTATAAGTAAAACTATAGAAAATTGCTTTGTTCCTTTGTTTTATTCCTTCTTGCTTTCTGGTAAATTTTGTATTTTAAAAGCTTTATAATTTTGTGTATAATTTTGCCTACAAAGCAGTGATGAAGAGGGAGAAAAACAGAGAAAGAGCAAAGCAGTGCCCCAGATCACAGTGCATTATTGCGTCACAATGCACGCGCATTAGCCAATCAAAACGTCTGTTATACTTATATTATAAAGTGCGATAATGCACTTGGGGAATGTTGGGAGAATACTCGAGAAGCGTGTAAAACACTCGGCTACGCCTCGTGTTTTACACGCTTCTCGAGTATTCTCCCAACATTCCCCGCGTGCATTATCACACCATAAACGCACGCGACTCGTTTTCTATTTCTTAGATATTATATTTTATACTATATTTTACTATTTTATATAATATATTATGGATATTTTACTTTGCAAATCAAGTGTATAATAATCCATCTTTATATGTTCTCTAATTATATTATGTTATTTATGTCCTGGGAAGTGATTCAGCCTAAAAATACTGTCCAACCCACATTTACCAATTTTTGGCCCCGACACCTTTTTGACAATTGTCGCCAAACGTCCGGATAACTTTGAATTTTCAGAAAAAATTCCCATTTTCGCAGTCATAACGGCAGGGGGAAAATATTAAAGTGCATATGAATCTTTCTTAAACGAAAGAACTCTTTAAGCTGTAGTGTAACTTATTTTTCAGTTTCTTGTTTCTATGCTTTGTTCCCGAGATATTTCAATTTGTGTGATATGTAAATGAGTGTAAATATGTCCGCAATTTATGACGTAATGTTGGTTGCAAGCTCAACTTACACTGGTTATAAATCTATTAATTCTAAAAACTGTAGATATCTGTTCACGTTTTTCTACAGTGTTTCATCACATTTACCAGTGAGTGAAGTTTGAAATTATCATCTTGGATGATAGCAGTGATATTCAACCATTTTGAAGAGCTTGCAACCAACGTGACGGCATAAATTAGCGGACATATTCACACATATTTACATATCAAACAAATTGAAATATCTCCGGAACAAACCGGAAAAACAAGAAACTGAAAGATAAGTTACACTACAGCTTAAAGAGTTCTTTCATTTCAGAAAATAAGAAATTTCATGTCATATGCACTTTAAAAGTCATGAAAGCACAGGCAAATCGGATCATTTGTTCAGGAATGACGGATAAATATTTATAGGGGTGCGCTCATTGTGCGCAAACCTGGATACAAATAGGGTTAATTTAAGTGTGAAACCAGATACCTTAATTGGTGTTAATTAAATAAACATGTCGGAATTTAACCCAAGCGAATTTATGGTGGAAACAACCATAGAAAATTTTAATAGTCTACGTAAAGATGACCCAGTTACGCTAGGCAAGCAAGTACGACTAGAGATAAGAAGTACTTTAAGAAAGCGCGAAGTATACGATTTCACCCGTTTATCATACACCTCAACGGGTATTACCCATATGTTCTCAATTGAGAATATTCGGTATTACCCGTGCCAGACTATCGCCTGCCTACCTGACGCTGACGCTTTCGCATATCATTATATACACTGTTAATTTCAAGGAGTTATTTTAACTCCACCATAGGAGTTAAAACTACTCAACTCGGGAGAGTAAAAATAGTGGAGTAAAATCTACTCCCAAAATAGAGTTAAAACTACTCCACTTCGGCGCGCATTCCACAATTTACTCCATCAGGAGTCAATTTTACTCCGCTGGAGGAGTAAACTAAACTCGCGTTTAGGAGTAGAAATTATGGAGTAATTTATACTCCTTAATTTTACTCCAGGGGTCGTTTCAACTCCCAAAAAAGAGTAAAATTGTTCTGGATCTGGAGTAAATTATTACAATATATAATTAATGTGCCTGAGAA